GGGGGGAGCCAAGATTCCTGCCAGATTCTTTGCCTGCAGCTCGTCCCTTTGCAAAACTCACATTCCAGCTCCCCCCTTTTAAACCCACCCCCCCAAAAATCCTTCCCAACCCCCCTAAAATCCTTTTCCCTCCCCCTCCTCAAACCTTTTTCCTCCCCAGGGGAGGGGAATTTAAACCCCCCTTTCCTAGTGATGCTTCCAAATGGGGAGCACTGAAATAGGGATGATTTGAGGAGGGAAAGGGGGGGGGAAATAAATAAGATATTGAAGGAGAAATAAACTTACTGGGGTGGTCGGGGAGAGGCTGGTCCAGGCGTCGCGATGGTCGCGATCATCACTAAGCTCCTTGTCCCCCTGTCCCAGCATTAAACAGCTCAAGCAGCTGCGATGCTGGACAGTTAAGATTATATATGATGTAAATATATTGTGGGTTTGTCAGCTCCCCCAAACCATAAAACTTAGTTTAATGACACCACGTGCTCCCTGAGAGCCACTCAGGGCTTTTGCTTCGGGCCATCCACATCAATAACCTTCAAAAGTTTTAAACTACTAAATTCACCTTAGAAGCCACGAGTATTTCTGCTAATGTTCTCGGTGAAACTAAAAGAGCTTTTGTTGGGGTTGTTTTGGGGTTTGTTGTGTTTGGTTGTTTGTTTTTTTTAATGATGATGGCTGCTTTTTTTTTTTTTTTGCCATCCGTCTCAAAAATGAAGGGAAACCAGCACAAAATCTGGATTTGGAGACGTTTTCCCAACAAAACAAAACAACACGCAAAAAAATCAACACACAAAAACAGGAGTTTGGTTGGTTTGTTGGTGGTTTTTTGGGTTTGTTTTTTTTTTTTTTTTGTGGTTTTCCTCTCTTTTTTTGGGGGGTCGTTTTAAGTTCTCCCTGGGTTGCCACGGCCGAAGGGGCAAGGTAAGTCCTTTTTGATTTCCTTTCTGGAGTCTTTGGGAAGGGAGCAGGGAAATAAAAAGGCAACCAACTCTTCTCGACAGCACCAGCAACAACACCCACTTCACCAGCCACCCCACCCGGGGAAAAACCCCCCTGAAGGATGAGAGGGGTGTGGGGTACAAATTAAACCCCCCCCTTGTTCTCCTAGAGCCAGGGGAAGACAATAATTAATCATAAATAACCTCAACGGGGTGGAAATGAGGAAGTTTGGGGGTGAAAAGTGGGTTTTTTGGGTGGGTTTTGTTGGTTTTCTTCTTTTTTTCCCCCTGTGGATAAAACACGAGTGGGGTGGGAACTGGTTAAGCTGGTTAACCCTTGGTTTGACAAAGCCCTGGTATCCTCCCGGTTCTAATAACAACCAAAAAAAAAGAGAGGGAAAAGGTGATGGGAGAGTGAAATGTGATCAGATCATCATCATAATTAATCATCATAATTAATCATCATAACCCAGAAACGCTGCGTTAATAGCGGGGAGAGTGAAGGGGGAAAACGTTGCTTAAAGGGCAAATTAAATGGAATAAACGAGCAATTATCAAGAGGGTTGGTTGTTGGTTGGAGGTTCTTTTGGTGCCTGAACAACCAGCCCATGGGTTGACAGTGATGGGGGGGAAATGCAAGAAAATAAGGGGGGGAAAAAGGTGATTATTGGGATGTTCCCCCATCCTGAAATCACCCCAAGGCCCCAGGAGTGGGGGGAGAGTCTCTGTGTGTTTCACCCCAAAGCCCCGGGGGAAACACCAGAGGGAAATGGAATTAAAACTGAAAAAAAAAGAGGTGAAAAAGGCGATTTTTAGGAATCCCCTGAAGGAAAAAAGGCAAAATCTTTGCACCTCCCGACTTGCCCGAATAACCCAAACCCCTCAAACACCCGAGAAGGAAAAGAAATCGAGAAAATCGAGGAAAATAAATCAAAACAACCCAGTAAAGTGAAGGAAAAACAACCTGGAAGTGCCTGATTTGAGCAGGCGGTGCTAATTGTCCCCCCTCCAGGCAGCAGGAGCTTCTGCTCGGAAGCCCCCGACCAACTTTTTTTTTTGGGGGGGGGGTTGTTTTGGGTGTTGTTTGGCAGCTCGTCAGGAAATTGGTCCCCCTGGTGTCAAAGGAAATCCTATAAAGTTTTATGGAGCTGATTGGGCTTCTCCCGGCATTTGGTGGAGCCTGGAAATAAAAGGAATGACCCCAAAGGAGCCACCCCCTTGTCTGGGGAAAGAAGAGGTGGATTTATGCAAATAACCAGCAGTTTGGGGAGGGGGCGGGAAAAAAAAAAAAAAAGGGGGGGGGGGGCGTGAAGCCCCGCCACGAAGGGGGTTTTTGGGGGGGTTGTTTTGGTTTTCTCCGCCTATGCCATATGGCCAGAGGGGTGGAAAGGTCCATCTGGGTGGAAGTGTGAGGCTCCGGGATGGATGGGTACCCTATGGAAGGAGGTTTTCCCCTCCCATGTGTTCCGAGTTAGGGTCCCTTCCACTTCAGCCGAGACAGAAAAGAGCACCTAAATCTAGAAATATTAGCTAATAGGTAATATACAAGAATTTTACATATAATATATAGTGTGATATATCATATATATTTTATTTTCCCCCCAAAAAAACCCCAGTATATCTATTTTATATATTTATCTAGACATATTTATATAGAAATATTCTATATATACACCTATAAAAGTATACGATTCTATGATATTATCTATACATATATTATCTATACATATTATATTGACCCCCCCCCCATCTCCATCCCAGTCACCTCCAGTCAGGTACTGGGACCTCCTCCCCGCATCCAGGTGCTGCCCAACCTGCAGCAAGAGGATTTGGATTATTTTTTTTTTTTTTTTTGGGGGGGGCGGGATGAAAAATCATCTTATCCCGATGATAGAAGGGGGAGGAGAGAGAGAAACAGAGAGAGAAAGGGGAATTTAATCTGCTCTTCCTAATAAAATTCCAGCTGCCAAGGGAGAACATGAAAAACCGGGTGAGAAATCAAGAGCAGGAAGCCCGAGGTGGGACAAGGAGCAACTCCCCCCACCTCAGGGCCCAGCCCCCCATCATTTTAGAGCCCAGCCCCCCATTTTAGGGCCCCCATCACCTCAGGTCCCAGCACCAAATAAAAATCCCCATTTTCCCATTTTTTTTTCCCCACTCTCAGCAGCAGAAAAAGCAACCCAAGGTGTGTGGGGGGAGAAAGACCCTCTGAGTCAAATTATTCCTTTCACAGACCCCCCGAAAACGGCTTTTTTAGATAAATAACTACCTAAAATCATGATTTTAAATCAGCATCTGGCTAGAGCAGCAGGGGAACCAAAACTGAGGGGAAACAGCCCAGAAACATCCGCCCGACGAGGCAACTTTGGGGATGATTTGGACTATTTATTCAATATGACAAAAGAGAAGTTTCCTCGCCCTTTTGGGGTTTGGTTTGGGTCGGTTTTTGGGGTGGTTTGGGGTTTTTTTTTTTGCAGACGAAATAAATATACCGGGTACATCATTCAAGGGGTGGGGGAGGGATGAAAAGGAGCGACTGAATTTTAGACAGAGATGGAGAAATCGGGGTTCGCCTCGGCTTTTTTTTTTAATATATCTATATATATAATATATATCTCAGCATTTAGCGAATGGACATGAAGGACGCAACAAATAAATACACAAGAATATTGCAGATTTTTTTTCCCCTTCCCCC